TAAATAAATAAATAAATAAAAGAAAAAGTGAGAAAGAGATGAAAGAAAAAAAGAAAAAAGGGACAGAGAGAAAAAAGGAAGAGGGGAGAGGGAGAGGGAGAGAGAGAGAGAGAACACATGGCTGGCAGGCCACTCCCACCAGGTCACATGGCCGGCAAGCCACTCCCACAAAGGAGGCCACACCCACAGAGTAGGTTCAAAAAATTTTTGAAACCCACCATTGGAGAGAACCCAATTAAACAAAAGAAAACATTATACCGATTCATTGATTTGTTGCAGAAAATGATCTTCTTGGCTCGTTTTTAGAACTTGGGCGGAGAACAGATCAGGCTTGAGGTCACATTTATGGTGGAATATGCAACTTTCAAAAGGGTTCGCCAACTTTTAAGCAGGTGATGTTTTCTCTGCTGACCTTCCTGCCTCTCTCAGCATTGTAAAGAAGAGCCAAATAAATTCCCTTTTCAATAACAGACTTTCTTCCTCTTCCCTCTGCTCGTTACATCTGTTTTAACTAACACTGAAAATCTGTTCAAGGAGATTTTGAGAGAATAGCTTGCCGAGCCTTTAAAAAAAGACAGAAAGATATAAATAAATTTGCAAGAGACGTTCTTTTAAGCTGCTTGGATTATAAAGTTGGATCAACCCCACTATCCTGTCAAGAGCGGAAAAAGCTTCTCGGATGAGAAGCGAAACATCTTCAAAAGGAAAAATAAAAATCAACAAGGATGTCCTGAAAAAAGGACCTTTGGGGCGACTGTGTGGCCAGGATGACTTGAGAAACCTCGGCAGACTTTTATCAAGAGCGACAAGATCCTTCCAGCGTTTCGGAAGAAATAGGCGTTTACTAACCGGTGTATCTGCTTCACATCACCAGAGGCTGGGTGTCTCCCGCGACAGAAGGCACAGAGTCGAGGCTGCCTTTGTAAATGGGGGTTCGCTGGCCGGATTCCGCCCTAAAAAAGGAAAGACCAACGTTAACCGCTTCTCCCCGCTGAGCCACCAATACATGGACCGAGAAAGACGTGGCCTAGACTGGCTCTTCCATGCTTCTTTACGCATTCTCGCTCCCCAGAGGTCGATCAACTATTAAGTCTCTGTTGAACTCAGCAGTAGGAAGCCAAGGGTTTGGCTAGGCTAAAGGAAAGAAGAATTGGGGGTGACATGATAGCAGTGTGCCAGCGTTCGAGGGATCAAATTATTCTGCAAAGCACCCTCCGAGGGCAAGACAAGGAAGAATGGATGGAAACTAACTAAGGAGAGAAGAAGCAACCTGAAATTAAGCAGAAGCTTCCTAACAGGGAGGACAATCAACCAGTGGAACAGAAGTTGCCTTCAGAAGTTGCCTTCAGAAGTTGTGGGTGCTCCATCACTGGAGGTTTTTAAGAAGAGACTAGGCCAGTGGGTGCCACAAAGGGAGCACACGGTCGCCTGAGACGCAAACCGGAAGAGGAGCTGGCCTAGGGGTGTGCGCGCACTGGGAAATGGACTTCCGGTTTCCGGCACACACAGGCCAGTGAGTCTCCCAGTTGCTAGCGCTCATGCGCACACAGCAATCAGTTGACCGGCGGGCATGCTGAGCCCGGCAAATAGAAGAGCAGCTCTTCCGGTTGCCGGCATTGCCGCACGGACGAAGGCCAGCGGATGGTTGTGCGTGCGTGTGCACCAGAAACCCGGAAGAGAAACGGGCAACATCGCATGTGCCAGGCGACACGGCTCCGCCTGCCACTTAGGGCACGTGGGCCATAGGTTGGTCATCACAAGGCTAGACAATCACTTGTGTGAAATGGTATAAGGTCTACTGCTTGAGAAGGGGGCTGGACTAGAAGACCTCCAAGGCCCCTTCCAGTTATTCCATTCTATTCATTTTCCCTTCCATATTCTATTCTATTCTATTCCATTTCATTCTTCTTATTCTATTTCTATTCTATTCCATTCAATTCATTCCATTCTTCTTATTCTATTCTATTCTATTCTATTTCTATTCTCTTTTATTCCATTCAATTCATTCCATTCCATTCTTCTTATTCTATTCTATTCTATTCTATTCTATTCTACTCTACTCTCTATTCTATTCTATTCCATTCTTCTTATTCTATTCTATTCCATTCAATTCATTCCATTCTTATTCTATTCTATTTTTATTTTATTCTACTCTCTATTCTATTCTATTCCATTCCGTTCCATTCTATTCTATTCTACTTACTCTCTATTTTATTCTATTCCATTCCTCCTATTCTATTCTATTCCATTCTTCTTATTCTGTTCTATTTTATTTTAATTCTATTTCTATTTCTATTCTATTCTATTCTACTCCATTCATTCATTCCATTCTTATTCTATTCTATTCTATTCTATTCTATTCTATTCTTCCATTCCATTTCAATTTCCATTCCCTTCTATATAATCTATAAAACCCTCTGTAAAAAAAAAAATGTACCCCTACTAGCATTAACAGGAATGGTAGCTAATGTCCTTGGGTGGCATGGGCCAAACTTTGGGTGGAAAAAAATAAAAAAAAAATTCAAATCCCTGCCTGGGACCAGAGCAGGCACGCCCCTGACCACCACCAGCCCCCAAATCCCGCCGGACACTCACAAAGCCATTTTCTTCTGGACGGCTGCCCGGTGACGGGGAATGAGGAAGGCGAAGACCAAGATCAGCAAGAGCAACAGCACGGCTGGGAGGGCCACGGCCAGGGCCAGCATCGGGGTGCTGAGGGACAGCACGGACTCTGGAGAAGACAGAAAGGTCAACGACAAAACGGGCCATGGGCCCCGGTGCCCTCCACCCGCCTGCCTCCATCAGAGGGCGGAGAAAGGCAGTCAGCAGTGCCCACGGGATCACCCACAGGGAGACGGTCAGCTACACTGTTATTAAAAGAGGAGTGGCACCAGAAAGCCTTCTAAGTAGGCAGGGCTGGTTTCAGAGGGTGGCTTCCTTTAGGTTTCTCCCGTAAAGGGTGTGCCAGGTTACTGCCTGAATCAGCGGTGGGTTGCAGGTGGTACGCCCCAGCACAGACGGGAGCACCGGATACCGTTCCAGTACGGTCCTCTGGAGGGCCCACCCACCCGACCTCGTTCCTTACCTGCATTTGAAGGAAACGGGCTATCTGTGCACCTGCGTGCAGCGTACGGCGCCTGCGCGATGCTCCGCCGAGCAACTGGAGCGTCGCGGAGGCATCGCGGAGCGTCACAGGAGGTAAGGATGCATGCGCACATTCGTGTGGTGGCTGCTGGGCCTCGTTGCACCGTATCGGTTGCAACAAGATCCGGAACCCACCACTGGTCTGGATCCTAATAGGCTTGAGGGTGGAGGTTCGTTCTTCGAGCTTGTGGGTTGGTTTCCGAACCTTTCGTTACCAAGCTAGGTAACGACTTTAGCGGAGGTTTAGGGAGTGTTTTGACATCCCCTAAATCCCCACTGAAGATGTTACCTACCCTGGTAAATATAAACTTTGGGAAACCAACCCATAAGCTCGGAGAACGAACCTCCACCCTCATCCGACACCCGAGTGACAGATATTCATCACTATTGCGAACCTAATGGGTTTATTTATTTACTCAGCGTATGGGGTATCATACACGGGAGTGGTGTGGTGGCTCAGTGGTTAGCACACTGGGCTCATCGGCTGAAAAGCCGTCGGCTCAGGTTCGAGACCCAAGCGTCACGCGACGGGGTGAGCTCCCGTCCTCGCCCCCAAGCTGCTGCCAACCTAGCAGTTCTAAAGCACGCAAATGCGAGTAGATAAATAGGTACCCTTTCTGCTGGTCACATGACCGCACAAATGTCCTCAGACAGTGCTGGCTCAATGGTCTTAAAATGGAGAGAAGTACTGCCCCCTATAGGTGGCAATGACTAGTGGAGAAAATGGGCAGGGATTCCTTTACCTTTATCATACGGGGACTAGCAATATATATTAACATTTCACTTTTCACTTAAGGGGCTCCGGAGCGGGCCATTTTCGCCCTCCTGGCAGTCGGGGATAGTCACCTAAGCCTGGGGAGGGTGAAAAATGGGCCCCGCCCTGTTCAGGAGGCCGAACAGGCCACACCCACCATGGCCACGCCCACCCAACAACAGGGCAGAGAACCAGTTGCTAAAAGTTTTGAATCCCACCTCTACCTTCTCAACACCCGATGGGCTTTTTTCCCTGGAAGTTCTCCCAATAAATATGGAAGATACCAAGTGGCCAGACTTCATAGGGGACGTTCCAAATTCAGGGCGTCTTACCAAAACTAAAGCTGCGCTTGGCGCTCTCCACGACCACGCGGACTGATTTGCTCTTGGTCAACTTAGGCAAAGTTGGATGGTGGGCCTGGCAAGTATAGGTCCCGGCTTGCTCCTGGGTGAGCTTGGAGAGATTTAAGGAACCCGAGGGCAGGATCCAGTCATCTCCCTATTCATAGGAGGAAAAAAAGAAAAAAAAAAAGAAAGAGAAAGAAACGTTAACAGAAAGCTTTTTGATCTACATAACGAAGCTATGAAACTCCGCTAGCTTTTCCGACACCTGAAAAGACGATTTGGGAAAGTGTCTACAGAGAGCCTCAGTCATCATGGATCATGGATGTCCCAAAGGTGCTTTTTTAAAAGGCAACTGGACTTTCTGGGGGTTTTCCCAGTGGTTGGACTAGATGATTCCAAGGCCCATTCCAACTCTGTTATTCTATAGTGAGATGGGCACAAGGAAATTAGATGATAGGTAGGGATAGATAGATAGATAGATAGATAGATAGATAGATAGATAGATAGATAGATAGATAGATAGATAGATAGATA